CCCCCCCCCCCTACCAACCACTTGCTCCATCCGGGCTGGGCAGTGGCAGCTTCTAGGCTCCCTAACGGCGACAGCTGCAGCAGATGCAGGGGTTCCGGCGCCCTATGTGTGACAGCTGGTGAAGTTGCAGAGGCTCAGGCCCCAAAACTGCGACACCAGCTGGAGTTGCAAATTCGACGGGGAAGAAACTGCTAAACCACCGGTGGTCGGATAGCACGAAAAGGCTGTAAATACCGCGCAAAACATGTGCTGCCAAGACGGTTTTAACACTCCTAATAAAACCTGAAGCGCAACATCTTATAACCATTAAAAACAAAGATGCCAGCTGTACATAAAAGAGGCTTGCCAACACCTCTAAAGCCCAGACCTCGGCGTAGGAGGGTTTGTTTTTGAAGTACCGTGTGGTGTGTGCGCGCTAGGTGTGGAGATATTGTTCGGGGTGTCCTCGAAACAGTGTCGTAATCATCCCCGAAAAAGCTTCCCCCCACCCAATTTCGAGTTTTCGCCAAAAGCCGTCCGAAATCCCAAGGTCAAGTCTGCAAAGTCCAGAAGTAGGTTTGGTGACAGTATAAGATGGTCCGACATCACGAAAGTATTGCAAATATCGAGTGGAATGGCTCTTTTGCCGTCTCAGGCTGCCGGTACGTCAACATCCCCCCCCACCCCCACACCCCCTCAACCCCCGTCCCCAGCCCCAATCCGAAGCCGAACTTGTCAAAGTCACGGAGTGGATTTTGAGGCAAGAAGCAGTGGTATTTCACGACGAACGTACGGTAAATACCGAGTAGAACGGATGTGCCCTTAAGAGGCTTTAGGGTTTTAGGGTGTAGTGTTTTAGGGTATAGGGTTTCGGGTCTAGGGTTCAGGGGCTTTGGGGTTTTGGAGTTTAGGGTTTAGGGTTTGGGGTTTAGGGGCTTAGGGTTTAGGGTGTAGGGTTTAGGTTTAGGCTTTGTGGACATCAAGACCTGCAAAGTAAACGAATTCAACGCTCGGAAACCCAAGGTTTCTAGGCCAGCAAGCAACCACCGACTGTTCGACCGAACAAAACGACGAACCCAGGTGACATATCTCACGCAACTAGGAGATTTAAGCTTCAGGCACAGAAGGCTAGAAGGTTCCTGTTTGCTGTGTATTCTTGAGAGGCCGTCTTCCTCAAAAACCTTATCCTGAAAGTCTTGTCGCGGGAAAACCACATGCGAACTTCAGGGATTCGCTCGATCATGACATCCGGACAGATGCCTATCTGCACGCTCCCCTGCCCTTATGCTTCGGAGTGGGCTTGGGCTTGGGGATTCACCCTTGCAAGCCGCAACTCAAGATGAAAACTAAAATAGCGACTCAATAACCCAAGCGATCCTCGCAGCTGTCCCGCCACAGCGTGTCGCCAGCTGAGTGGTGCGGCCTCACCTTTCATGCTTGGATGCACAGGCTCCAGATTATTACGATTACTGCTGCTGTCAGTCCTATTGCTCCTCCTCCACGTCCCCCTGCTGAGTGTAGTAGAAGTGCAGCAATAGTGATAGCAGTAGCTGTAAGTCGTAGTTTCAGTCGCAGTCACCGTCGCAGTCGCAGTCGGGGTAGAAGCAGTAGTAGTAGTAGTAGTAGTAGTAGTAGCAGCAGCAGCAGGAGTAGTAGTAGTAGTAGTAGTAGTAGTAGTAGTAGTAGCAATAGTAGTAGTAGTAGTAGTAGTAGTAGTAGTAGGTCGTCGTAGTAGT